TTTTTTTTTTTTTTCTGGACTCTTTTATCGTCTTTCTACAACTAGAAACTTTTTTTCATTTTTGCGAAAAATTTATGCTTTTAACCGTTCAGTAGGGCAGTTTTGTGTTATCCAACCACCTACAATATATGTCGTAATTTATTAATTATCATCACCTCTATTATAGCTTTCATTTCTACTATTACTTTTTGGCTAACATTTAATACTCTAAAGCCATTAAGAACAACAACATAATCTCTTCTATAATTGTTGCTTTCGCTTGGAACAGCTATTAGTCTGCAAATGGCGTCAATCTGATTGTATTTACTAATGGATTTTTAGACTAAAAAAATGATGTTTTATTCAAATATGTGTACTAAATTTAATCGAATTAACGATTACAGTGTTTGTATCTATTATTAAAAATAATACTTTTACATCAATTTTTACATTTTTACATCTGTAATCTATGACTCTCACCTAATTCTCTTTTAACGGTAGCTTTAGCAACTAAAAAATTGATTTTAAGTAGATCTCAAAGTAAAAAAAAAAAGTGGACCTTATTTCTCTGACTTCAGCTGAACAGCTTTTTCTAATAGATACTCTACGTAAAAGCAAATTTTTATTGGCTATTTCTCCTCTGTCGGAGTACCGTTTTAGCAACATTCATTAAATTCAAGCTTAATATTGGGTTTTTTAGTTATATTTTTTTAATTTGGAAGGTTTCCATGGGACAACAATTCATATTTTTTGTATTCGTAAAATTCAGCAATTTTTTTGCTTTATTAGGAGTTCCAGTACCCGTATACTTTACTTCACTTAAAAAATCTTATTTGATAACTTTGCATGCTACATTTAGGTTTGGTTTTCAAATCGACGAGCGAAATGGCGTCGAGAAGAAAAATTAAGAAACCAAAAGCGACCAACCGGGATGGAGGCTGCGATGGGTACCGTTGGTGAGAATGTTGCTAGTTCGGCAACAGCTCAAGGCACGTATTGTTAGTAACAGTTTCTACATTAATTTTATACTTAAACTCTCAACAAAATTTCGTTAACTTTAAAACTGATGTTCATCTAACTCCAGATGGCGTAATCAATCGGTCAAGTGTTGGCACTCCGATAGGGAATAGTCCTACAACGACACCATCACGATTTACTAATCCTGCTGTTACTGCAAGCTTTGCACCTCCTAACAGTCAAATGTATTCACTTCCACAACCACCAATGGAAGCTTACGGGTAACTCTATAGTAAACACTTTTTAGCCGAAACAGTTACTCAGTAATAAGCAAAGATATATTTGCGCAATTTAGTAAATTAACTTATTCTGCGAGTTACTAAAAGCAGTAATTTTAGCTTCCCAAATACTGGACTTGGGATGACAGGTCCTCAACACCCCTCTGAATTCAATCCATATCATATGTTCCCGGGAGCTACTCGCCCCTACGATCCTTTTAATGTAAGTTCTCATGATGATTTCTGCTTAAAGAAGATAAACGTACAGCTGTAAAATTCGATCAGTAATTCAAATAAAGCACGTGACTACTGTAATTGTTCATTGTTGCAGCCATATGCTCGCTCTATGCAACCTGGAGCTCAACCGTCTTTCCCAGCATCGATCAATTCGTCTCCAATCTCCAATGTTACCGGTACTTTTTTAGTCATATTTAGTTGTTTTTTCTGTAAATTACTGCTAGAGGTAATTTTGATTTATTTGTTTTTAATCCTTTCTATTTTCTTCAACAGTTTTCCTGTGCTTTCGTTTATAAGGTTTTTCCGCTGCATTTTAACTGTTTTTTGCCTTTTATTTATTTATTTATTTTTTTGCACATTTGGTATATAAGGTATCTATACATAAAATACCTTTTAAGCTTGATACGAGTGGTAAATCCTTTTTTTTTTAAAATAATTCGATGAAGTAAAATAGCAATCTAAATACAGTAATCACATAAGAATAATGTTTATTTTCAGTTTTATAAATATATTTTTTTTTACAAGAACAGATGTTTTTCAGAATTTGACAATTGTCCTAATTGGTTCTAATTTGGTATATTTATTTCTCCTTTTCTCTTCTTCTTTTTTCCCTTTGATTTTTAAATTTAAAAAAAGAAAGAGAATAAAAAATAAATTTTTTTTTTTTGGAATATTTAAAAATTAGTTTAACGTTACAAAGATGATAAATATGCTAACAGATAGCTTACCTGACGGTGTCACTTTGTCGGGTATTTTGTAGAGTAAGTAAACTAGTTGAAATTGTTGGTTATTTGTTCAGAACATTCATTGCTGCTTATCTTAAGTTTAATTTTTTGATTTAACTATTTGCACTTTCTTTTCCATGCATCGCTATTCATTGCGAAGTTTTTGGCTTACCACGCTGAGGTAAATCTGTTTCATTAAAAATTTTGCTATAGTTCCTTTAAAAACGTTTAGGAAATGAAAGATGTGTAATAAAATGACGGCAGCAGTTTAGCAAAATTTGATCACCGGTCTTAGAGCGAAAAGTTACCGTAATCGCGCGTTGAAAGCGGCCAACACTTTTGAAGACGCAATTTCCAAATTCATTGCAGTTTAGAGAAGAATGTTGCACGGGGGGAGCGGAGCGATATGAGTGAGAAAGATGAAGAGAAAAGGGGACGGGGAATCATAAAATTGTCACATACCAACGAGTTATTTTAGTATTAATAAAATGGAATACCAGCAAGGAAGGGGGGCACAAAAGAAGATAAATTAAGAAAATCACTATGATTTGTGCACTCATATTTTTAGCCTTTCGTAAATTACTATCTTTTGCATTGAGTCTTGAAAAAAAAAAAAAAAAAAACAAAAAAAAAGATTTGTTTTTGTCTTTTATCATCTGCTTCCTTTTCTGTTGTTCCTCGTCTGATAGCATTGGTTTAGATTCTTTATTTTCATCACTATTGCCATCATTAACAACGGCAATAGTAGTAGTAGTAGCAGCAGCAGTAACAACAAAAAAGATACTTGTATAACAAGCCAAAAAAAAATGAAGTTTATTGCCACTTTTAATTGGGTATATATATGTTTTTTGTTTTTTTTCCTTTTGATTAAGTTTTTTTTTTCTTCTTCTTTTAATATGAGAAAAATTATGGAAGAAAATGTTGACGGAGGAAACTGAGCGGGGAAAAAGGAAGCAAAAGGAGGTAAATACACTTAATAAAGTTTTTACTACTAAAAAATTTATTCAAATTTATTTCTTCTATTTTCTCTTCTCAATTCTCTCAAATGTTGATTTTTTGATTTGATAACTTTCTATATGATTGTTTTTCTACAGGAATAAAAAAATTGATGATGATTTAATATTTTTTTTACTATACTAACTTTATACTAAAATCAACAACTGACTGAAGTGATTGTTGCACTGTAGGAGAAGAGTAATAGTGAACAAAAATTGAAAAATTGAAAAACAATACTTTAGTAAATTTCTCTCACTCAAATAGCTTAAATTAGTTTTTTCTGAATTTTGTTTAGCTGCTTAAGTTAGTTGTTGGGGAACAAACAGAAAAGTATTTTGACGGGTTTTTTTTTTGGTCATTAAATTTATATATTTTTTCTCAACTGATAATGTGTAAATCAAAATCAAAATTCAAAAGGCTTATAAAGAGGATAAGAAAAAAAATTAGCT